ATATACATATATATTATTCATACTTTCGGTGTATAGGACGCAAGCAGATTTTGACATCAAATTTTGGGGTAAAAAGTGTGTCTTACACACCGAAAAATACGGTAGTATAGTATAGTATGCCTGTGCGTTAGCGTTACTGTCACGAGAGAGAGAGAGAATAAGATTTGAACAAAAATAAAAATAAATAACAAGCTACTTAGTTATAAAATAATTTAATTATTTAAGTAGATTAGTATAAAACGATGTAGTTATACTCGTCGTTCCATCTGTGTTTATAAATCACTCCGTTTCCAAAATATAGATAAGTTATTAATCAACTAAATATGGGCACACCCAGCCTCAAGATACATACCTTACGCTTGCATGTTCACTTTCTTGCAGTCTGCTAGTTAGTTTGATATCAATAGCGTAGTGTTCAAGGCAACTTCCGAGTTGAGCGCCACTATCTGCAAAATGTAAATAACACTGCAACTAAAATATAAGAAAAATAAAAGCAGTCTCTCATAAAATAACTAGTAACTAGTTTGCTAAAAAAAATTAAAATGTGGTAGTTCTAGGTTACAACTAGCTCATAATCACTCGTTTTTCGCAGAAACAAGAGATTCGTGGATGTAATAATTAATATGTAGAATGCTAGGTGTGGTGATTTATTGTCAGTGAAATAAAATAGACAAAACACGATATTGAAATCAAAATAGAACACTTTATTTCTTAAAGCGAAGGAAATTGCAGCTCACAAGTTGCCTTAATAATGGTAAACAAGTTGCAAATCAAATAACTGCAGATAAATAACAATAGTTGAACATCAGTACACATGGTCAGCGAGTATAAATACAGCGAAACAAATACGGATCTTACACCGGAAGCCTTTTTTCAAAAAGCAAACTGAACTTCTCAGCAATGCCGATAGCGTCGAAAAATTGCCAAAAAAAAACAAAACCAAACATAAAACTACAGTATGACAGAAAGCCGAAAAAGCTTCGGACTTCTTTTTTTATTATTTGAAAATTCTGGCCAGACTACCACGGCTTCATCTGAGCAGGGTCTGTTCATTTTTAGACACTTTGTCCCTACTCACGACATGTCTGAGTGTGGTATTATCAGTCAACCTGTTTTCCCAACACGTATGTGATAGATTAACCAGCAACTAACACAGGTCCTCCGCGGAAGTTTTGAGAGAGAGAATTTTAACTGGGTTTTCCTTTTTAGATATAAAATCAAAGAAACTGAACAACTTGTTAAGAAGCACATAATATATTTTACTCATATAAAACAGAAGGCAGAAAACATAGCGCACGTTCATTACGCATTAGTGAACACTTCTTCTTCCATCAGAGTGCATTTATCTCTTAATTGAAAGTGACAGCCGATCAATGTTGTCAGGAGAAAAAAGGTCCCAAGGTGACACCCTCCACTGGACTAAGAAAGCGAGTTTACATCCTAGACTTGAGTGTGCTTTCTTACTTCAGGTCTCTAATGGATGATCTACTGGAATGACTTTTTAGACACCATGATGTTTAGTTCGGCAACAGTCGCTCGAGAAGGTGAAGATTTAACGTCATAATCAGCCAGCATGGAATACTCCAGTACCAACTCATTCAACCTGGATGCTCCATTCGGTTTTGAAACATTTTTTGTTGGCAGAGAAGATGTCACCTACTAAAATGAACAAAGAAATATAACAACTAGAACGAGATAATGTTAAAGACTTTCGGCCATCTGTGCCCCAAAGACAGTGTCGAAACTAAGAAATCAAAATGTTTTTAAATTTGTACATTACCTTAGAAGGTATAAAATGTATGATATGCTGACATGTCACACGAAAACTCCACATGAGAACATATTTTTCCATATTTAGTTTAAGACTGCTTGTAGCAAAGGCAATAATACAACATTTATATTTTCAACTGCTGCCTGAAACGTGTGAGCAAACAACAAAATATCGTCTTTAAACTGAAATTAGACACTGTTGGTGCATTAAAGAAACAGAGTGATATGATACAAAATTCATACAGGCCTTGTCACCTTCATCAAGTACATACGGAAGGTTTAACCATGGCTAGTATATAATAACATTTTGATATAGTAGAAAAATAACAAAAGGAAATATTATTATAAGACAAAATTTGTATAAAACAATGATTATTTTACTCTTCTTTTAAACTCTTTTCGTAATTGTATTGTTGACAGCTATATTTTTAATGTTATAATTTAGATGTTTGTTTGCTAGAGGAAGCTAGACATTACATTGTGATTTAGAAATTATGTGTGATAAGTATAAAATGAGAATGATATTAATAGCAGAGCGAGTGATTCAGTTTGTTTGTTATGAATTTCGTGCAAAGCTACACGAGGGCTATCTGCGCTAACCGTCCATAACTTAGCAGTGTAAGCCCAGAGGGAAGGCATCTAGTCATCATCATCCATCGCCAACTCTTGGGCTACTCTTTTACCAACGAATAGTGGGATTGACCGTCACATTATAACGCCCCCACGGCTGAAAGGGTGAACATGTTTGGTGTGATGGGGATTCGAACCCGCAGATTGCGAGTCGAGCACTCTAACCACCTGGCCATGCCTGGCCGAGAGATTCAGTAAAGTTTATAGTGTATTGTTGTAAACTACAAATTCCATGTTATAATTTGGTTGTTTACTAGAGGGAAATACTAGTCATAGTGATGTAATAATAGAGAAACTTCCTGTAACATATAGAGACAATGGTACATTATTCATAAATACAAGTAATCAGTTAGTGAAGTTAATGAGTACTCAGTGAGTTTATAAGTTCAGTGTCAGGATAGTTGTCAGTGTTACAAGTAAGATTTCGCTCCCAACTCAAATGATTAGCGAGAAAATCTGCATGTAAATGTATTTCTGTATAAAGGTGAAAGTACGAACTGTAACGAAGAAATAAATTAATTTTTATTGTTGGATTAACTGGATCTCGTATTATTTTTATCAAACAATCTAAAAGGAACCTAGCCAATGATAAAGCAGATATTGTAACTGTTATCTGTTTTGTTTGTAGTTAAGCACAAAGCTTGTCTGCGGACTTACAACGCTAGAATCCGGGTTTCGATACCCGTGGTGAGCAGAGCACGGATAGCCCA